AAACTTTATTTTACTTTGGCCATAACTTTTTAACGGTCAGGATAAGGGTTTTCATCCTTCAAAAAAAATCAATTTCAATGAAAATTTCTACATAAATGACATATGATAAGATGTTCATATTAGACACAATATGTCATAAAAAATAACATCTCATCCACAAAGAAACCGAAAGCGGGGGACCACAATTCTTTGAATTTTTCATACTAACTGTTAAGTCATTACTGGACTTTTGCGAAGAGTGTTTTTTTTTAAAGTCGACGGCTTACTTTTACATATAGACAATATACGGAAGCTCCTTTCCGATAAAAATATTTAGCTCAAGGTTTAATTTTAGCTTTAAAAAAACGTGCTGAAATAAAGCACACACAACTTGCATAAGAAGAATCCGGCAACCAATCTACCTTCACAAGTCATGCTGGTGCCCCAAAACACCCCCATTACTAATAAAATGCTTTTCTTGTCCATTGTCAATTATGTGCCTCCTTATATTACACGTTTTAATGTCAAACTAAACCATCAACTGTAAAAGTCAGCGATTCTCGCAAAAGTCCAGTATTTACACGAATCGTGACTACATGTAAGTTGTCAACGGATTTTCCCGTTATTTCTCTTTCATGACAGGGAGCACACATTGTGATCGGTTGGCAAGGGATGCTCAATCTTCCAAAGCACCTGATCCAATCTCTGATGTTCTAGTGCATGCTCTGAACCGAAACTTGTATTGTTTAATGAATTCTTGAGCTGGAATACTCTTCCTCACCTAGTTATATTTCGTTTAAATATATATGTACTAGTACTTTGATATATTTTGAGAGATTTTACTTAATTTTTCTTATTACATAATGAATGAATGAGATTATCAAATATCATTACATTTCATTATCAAATCTTTGAGAATTATTTGTTTGTCAGATATAGAAAATACATTCTTTCTGAATTTAAAATCTAAAGGAGAAAAAAAGTTACACACACTAAAATGCAAAGAAGTGTTTTCGCATATTAAAAAGGATCGAGGAGGCATTTCATTTGAAAATTAATGTTACGTGTACCATAAGCAGAAGAGTGGCACGAACAACTTTACACAATATGTGACTTTGCTTTTCTTTATACAATGTATTTTCTGTAATTCTTTCTAAAAGTTTGATAAATCTCTTAATGTCACAGGTGTTTGTCCACACTTGTATTCAACTAGTCATGAAGACAAACAGCTATAGGCGTTAGGATTATCTTTACCTTTAAAGGCTAGAATACACTAGACTAGTATATGTGCAATACTTTCAATATTTGAAAAAAGATTTCTGGATAATTTTTTGTCAGTTTTCATCTTTCATTCAATGTTTTGAAGAGGGACTTTTTGAGACTCCCTTAATTAAACAAATCTTAGGTTCAATAGAGTGTTGTTTTAGTCTTTTTCAGTTCTTCTGTGTCTCAGTCTGTATTTCATATTTCTTTTCCTTCAATGTTAAGTTTACCATCTCTTCATGGAGCTTCATAGTTTTAAATCTTAGAGTTTATAAAATAATTAGTATTTAGTAAACCATTTTTGGTTATGTGTTCGTATGTTTGTTTTTCCCCTATTTTGGCGTCTCCATATGAGTGAAAAATTCTATTCTCGAGAGGGACGTTAAACAATATATATACAATCAATCATCTATTTCGATTTTTGATTCATTTTGTTTCAAATATTCATTGACACAAGCAATATATATAAATATCAAAATATTTCTAAGGTATCTGTTTCTAAACTTAGAATAAGATTTACAATGAAAAAAGAAAACTAATTTTACCAACAGTCACACCAGAATCCATTTGATGTGAGGCTTTCCTATGTATTTTGGACTATTGCAGTGGAGTATGGGGTTACGACAACAGGGGGGGGGCGCACTTTTCCCCCCAACATTGCTCATACTATAGGAAATGTTTATTAAATAAAAAAAAAAAAAAACATGTAATACAGAGTCAACCTATTTCAATATATTTATTTAAAACATATAGATGGTTCGCGCATCAAAATTAGCTATCGGTTTTTTCCTTATTTTTATATTTTTTTCTTTACCAAAAGCAATTGCCAGTAAGTATTGACGGCCTTTTTTCATGAATTTGATATTTCTATCAAATTCTGATTGGATATGTACATTTAACGCTGGATTATTATAATCTAGAGCTTTCATCATCTTGACGATTTTCTGAACACAGAAACGTTTCATAAAACTGCAATTTTAGAATTCAATTGTACACCATATTTTCCTCAGAAACTTGAGAGTACAATTTTCCGTTCTTATTAATTTCATCCATAATTATTTAGATACATAATTCATGATAATCGTCACATCTATAATAGATTTAACCCAGTTATAAATAAATAAATTGTTTGGAGTTTTCCTATCATTCACAAAAATATTATTTCCAAAGTATAGTTGTGACAGTACATTTTACTATTAACACAGCTTGTAAGTTTTTACTTTGGTTCTCATATACATGTCACAGTTGATATTTAATTAGATACTTTGTTAATAATTCATATTTGATCAGCGCGCATTGCTAATCAAACATAGCGCTGTTTGTGTGAATGAGTGCCATGTGTGAATGTTTTGTTTTGTCACGTGATGTTTCTATTTTTAGCTTCCCAACCGACCAGGTATACGAGTACGACCAGTGGACCAATGACAGACCTCTATCTGATAATTAATATGCATGTGTACTAACTTCGTGCACTACATAAGCGCTTATCCCGCCAAATAAAATATCCATTAGATTTTACCTTCACGGTGCATGAGGTCCAACCATGTATGAAATATTTAAGTCATCGGGTTATACGATGTCTTGATAACTACAATATTCATTATTTTATAATACTGGATACCTGGTAAGATTAAATTCTAATGATGTAAATACTTAAATCAGTTTTGATAATACGTAAAATATCTTAATGACAGCGACGTGAATTTTCATGTTGTGTAATTTGTAACATTGTTTAATGTGCTGCATTTGTCTCTAGTTAACGTGTGTGTTGTGAGAGTGTTTTCTATGTTTCTTTTTTGTTATCCATAATAAACATCATAAAACCGAATCCAGCGTTTTCTCTCAAACGATTGACCCTGTGACATACAAAACAATATGTACTAGTTTTTAATGAATTTATGTTTTTTGAACAAGAAAACCACTAAAAATGCAATTATCGGAACCTCTCAGATTTGAAGGATGCAGGCCTGATTCAGTTTTAACAAACACAACATCTCCTTTGTCCAGTTGGACGGCGATAGTAGAAGATGATGAATAATTTTTTCCAACGTCTAAGTAATCAGATGCCAACGCTTGGTTCCCATTTTTAAATAACTGGAAAAAGGAAGTTTTCCCGATGTTTAAGTATGACACAGTAAACTGATAAAAACCACTGCTGGTTGCCCTGAAATGACCCAGGTTTCCGTTGTAGGCGTTTCCATGATTCAGAAGAATTTTGTCAAAAACAACTGACTGGTGGTGCGCAAACTCCTTGTCGTTTGATAAGATTGCTGTAAAAGCGAGCGATCCTCGACCTAAATGTAAGATTCATTCGATAGAGATGCAAACAAAGAAATTTATTCGTATGATTCATCAATTGTCCCCCGCTTTCGCGAAAGCGAGGGGACATTAAATCTCATCCGTCTGCCCGTCTTTCAGTCTGTCCGTCCGTCACAAAAGCTTTAACCTTGGTCATATCTTTTGAATGAGAAGAGATAGGGCTTTCATATTACCTATGTATATTACCTGTGACAAGACGTTTCAAAATACACATTGGTTTTTGACCCCATGACTTGTTTAAGGACAGATGATACAAACAAATAATGAATGCCTGGATTGGTATATATTTTTTGACCTAATTTCATTGCAAATGATTCAAATGATAAATTTCCAGAATATAAAGAAATTTTAAACCTTCTGTGACTTTCAAAATTCTACCCTTCTAAAACCATCCTCAACAAATATTTTTCACTTAAAATTCCATTTTTGTGCATCTTTGAATAAAAAATAAAAAACTACGCGGTGAAACTTGAAAATTGATTCATTACAACATGACTCAAGTTGTTATTTTCAAAATTTTATACAAAAGTTTGTTTGTATCATCTGTCCTTAACTTTAATCTTCTTTAGCCTTTCATTCTTGTTTATTTATTTCATATTACTTTTTTTTTATTATTGGTTGTTGTAAAGTTAAATTGAAGTGAAAGGAAGTACATTAACATATATATTTTTTTTCTTTTTTTAATGCGTTATATTTTGCATTTCAACAAAATTTCCTATCTTCTTGAGCAATTTACGCGTTTTCAATTTGTATTTTCCTAATAAAAACATTATTGATTTTTATGTACTTTTATTGACTTACCCGGCTTAAAGATATGTATGGCACGCCAAATTCACAAAAATGAGCTAAACATAGTTTCACAGTCGATAAACTAGGTTTATCGGTTGTAAACTATAGTTTACGGACTGTAAACTATAGTTAACAACGTTAATCTATATTTTACATCCGTAAACCATAGTTAACGCGATAATCTACCAGTATGTTTCACAACCGTAAACTATACTTAACACTGAAAACAATCATTTGCGATTGCAAAACATAGATTATCTGATAAATACAGTTTCACGATTTGTAAACTATAGTTCACAAACCGTTAACTATAGTTAACGATCTGATAAATATAGTTTCACGATTTGTGAAACTATGATTAACAACTCTTAACTATAGTTTACGATTGTAAACTACTATGAATCTATGTTTATCAATAAAATCTATTCTTAACGCTTATTACAGACAGATAAACTTAGATTATCATTCGTAAACTATAGTTAACAACCGTTAAATATAGTTTTACAGATGGAAACTATACTTAACGAATCGTTAACTATAGTTTACGGTTTGTAAACTATAGTTTACAGTCGATAAACCTAGTTTATCAATTGTGAGACTAGGTTTATCTCATTTTTGTGAATTTGGCGTGCCATAGATATGTCAGATATTTAGTCTTAAATATAAAATAAAATGTGAAACTATAATCAATAAATTGCACAATATTTTTTATTGTTTATGAATAAGAAATCCACTAAACACACAGTAGTAAGCTGATCCATCCAAATTTCCCGCTGTAATAGTTCGAACAAACAAAACATCATCTAATTCTAATCGAACGGCTATTGTCTTAGCAGATGCTGAATATGTACCAGCTTGAGTATATAGTTTTGCCAAATTTTGGTTTCCATTTCTCACAATCTCGAACTTTGTTTCTTTTTTATTATTCAGTAACGACACGGAAAACTGGTACAATCCGGAAACTGGGGCCCTGAAATGTCCGTAGGTTTCATGATAAGCATTGCCAACATTAAGGAGGGTTTTGTTGAATACAACCGTTTGTCCTGCACCCAATTCCACATTTTGCGAAAGTATGGCCGTAAATACAACAGGATGAAGGCCTTGAAACGATATACATTTTTTTAACTTAAAAACCCCCATGTAATATTTCCAATGTTAATAAACAATTCATATATAATTTATTTATAAACTATCCATGTACATTTTTTGTTTAAAGATGGAAACGTGCAAGGTAATTGCAAACGTTGTCTGTTTGAGAATACATGTATACATGTTCACGATCAAAAGTGATTTTCTTCACAAGTCAATTTTGAATTAATTTTAAGTATAAGAAAAATTAAAACATTTTTCATCAGTGCTTGGTTTTTAATTGCAAAAAAATTCATCTTTTCAAGTATGAACTTTAATCAAGTTGAATCTTAATCGGACAAAAATCTCGAGATAGTACTAACAGTAGATAACAGTTACATTGTTTAAAAATTTTTATTATAAGCGACACTTTATTTTATTGAATTTAAGAAAGATATAAAAATAAGATTTTTTAAACCTGTACTAGACGCCGCTACTTGAGAGGTTAGATTCTTCAGTCCATTAATTTCTGCATTCAGTTTCTGGTTTTCTGCAAGCACATGTTGGAGACTAACATTCATCTGCAACTGTTGCACATTTAGTTTCTGGTTTTCTGCAAGCACATGTTGGAGACTGATATTCATCTGTTGCACAAGCTGTTTCAGTTGTTCTACATCATTTCCATGAGTTGACAGTAAACTGTGGACTTCATATCTGCACGATAAAACAAGAAAACAAAGAATTGCAATGTGCATCATGAAGACTGTAGAGATAACAATGAAATTAGGATGTGTATTTCATTATCTTTTGTATGGAACAGTCGTGAAATGCAAACACAAAATATAGAGATGTAGGTATGTTTTCCTTCAAACGAATATGCAGGTATATGACTACACTGCTTTTCAATTATAAAATAGCTTTGAAGCCTAGTTTTTTTGTGTTGGTAACTATTTGCTTTTCTTACCTAAGACAAACTATATGTTGCCATCATCAGTAAAACCGCAGCAGTGGGATGCTGACCTTGTCAAGAATCTTCTCTATAATAAGGCAATATACTCTCCTCAAAATTATCTCACCAAGAACCAGTATCATTTTGGTTGCCCACGAACATTAATTGAGCCACAGAAACTAAAATGATTTTATCTTACTGCTTTGCTTGAAATACCCCTATTAAGTGGGAAAGAAGGTTAGTGTGAAGTTTCAAAAGGTATAGAATACGGTTTCTAGCTTTTTCTTTTGATTCAAACATTTTCCTTTTTAGAGTCTTTTAAAACATACCATTCATATACATGAAAGCTTTATTTTTGTGATGATGAACGTCTCTGAACATTACTGAGACAGGTTCATAACTCTATCAGACTTTACCCATAATTTCTTTATTTTATTATCACGACGACTACCAAATATATGGATGATACTCGGAGAATAAGGTCACTCAAAACAACTACAATCCTTGTATTATAATTTACTTCATAACAACATATTCAAATACACACATACATTTACAATGAATAAGACATTCTAAATCACATCCTGTCAGCAAAAGGTCTTTTTCGCGCCAGATTTGGTATTCTGTCGTTTGGTATTAGGGGGAGTTTTTCTCCCGCCTTTCGCTTTTGCTCGCCGATCATCCTCACGTGCCGAACTCTTTTTGACTGTGGACGAGGTCTGATCAAGTCTGTTTCAAGTTTGTCCTATACTCGGCACTTAGGACCATTGAGCAGGGAGGGATCTTTTTCGTGCCAGCACCTACTGCGACACGGGACCTTGGTTTATACGGTCTCATCAGAAGGACTGGTCTCCACGTCCCACAGTGGGATTCGAACCCGTCCTCAATTCGATCAATTCCTTACTTCGCGACTTTAGAGCAGATGTTCTAACAAATGCGCCACACGGTTGATTCAAAAATGTGAAAAAGCATATCGACTTTAACTTTTTAATCGTCAACTTCCCTTGCCTTTACAGCAATATACTTTCATCACCTGCATGCGGGGTTTATCTTTCAGTTAATTCGATACGCAAGAGAATGCTCTACGTATTTCTAAAGGTAAATTATTGACAAATTGATGAAAGAAGACTATGAAAAGTCTCGTTTAAAGTCATCACTTGGCAAGGTCTGTGGCCGATACAATGATTTTTTCTGCAAATACAATTTATCATTGGGTCAAATGTTGACTGACGTTTTTCATACCATACGAATTGTTAGTCCATTATTTACATACTGAATTGACGACGGATTTTCCATTATTTCCCGATCATGACAAGGAGAACATGGCGGATGTGACAGGTAGGCAGGAGATGCTCACTCCTCCATGACACCTGATCCCACCTCTGATGTCTGTGTTTGTTCTGCTCCTATTTTGTATTGTTTTATGGACTTTTGACCTTGAATACTGTTCTTTATCCCAATTATTTCATTTATTTGATTCGATACATAAGATAAACAATTTTTAAAACGAAGGGAGTGATTGACATACAAGTTGATGAAACAAGAATATCAAAAGTCTCGTTTAAAGTCATCTTTTTATAAGTTCTATGGTCGAGACAATGACCTCGTCAGCAATTACAATCTACTTCATTAAGTCAAATTCTGACTAACATTTTTCATACTAATTATTAAGCCATTAGTTAAAAACTGAATTGTAAACGGACAATTTCCCTTTCGTTATTTTCCTTTCATGACAAGGAGCACACGGCGGGTGTGATCTTCGGCACGGAATGCTCAATCTTGCATGGTACCTGATCTCATCTCTGATGTTCTAGAGAATCGTGTTTGCTCTGCTCCGTATTGTTTAATGAATTTTTGAGCTTAAATACTATTCGTTACCTAAATATAATTCATATATACTAGTGAGAGATTTTGCCTATTTTTTTCTCATCACATAATGAATGAATGAGATTATCAAATATCGTCATAATTTTGTTAATAAATATTTTAGAATCATTTGTTTGTCAAATATAAAAAATGAATTGTTTCTGAATTTAGAAAGGAGAAAAATAATACAGGTACTGGAATGCATAGAAGTGTTTTTTGCTGTAAAAGGAATTAGAAAAATTTCACTTTAACAATAAAATGATACTTGTACAATAAGAGTGGAACGAACAACCTTACACAATATATCGCTTTTCTGTTTACGATATCTTTTCCTTAATTCTTCTAGTAAAATTTTGTTAATGCTATTAATGTCACAAATGTTTGTCTAGATGCTCCGCTTTTATTCAACTAATCACGAAGACAAACAGGTGTTAGGATTATTTTTACCTTTAGAGGTAAGAATGTGTATGTGCAATACTTTCAATATTTGAATAAAAAGTTTCTGGGTAATTTTTGTCAGTTTAAATTACACCTTTTATTCAATGTTTTAAAGAGGGACACTTTTGGAAACGTTAGGTTCAATAGAGTGATCTTATAGTTTAATTTATTATTTCAGTGTTTCTTTCTTTCTTTCTTTTTAAAGCTTCAGTGTTCCGTTTAACCATTTGTTCTTGCCGCTTCATAATTTTGAATCTTAAAGTACATGTCTTGTATTTGAAATATTACGAGTGCTGTTCAATAAGAAAAAGATATTGCACGAGGGCTGTTCAATAAATAATATCCTCGGTGCTCGCAAAAAAGCAAAGGACGCTTTTCAATAATTTATGTGAACCATTTAACTTAAATATTCTCTTTGAATTAAATCACATGTCCGTAAAATTTTTATCTAATTTCTGATTGCTCTAAGAACTCATTTTTGAGTATGGCCCTTAATTTACCGGATTATGGCAGATCCTCTGAGTTCCTGGATTTGTTTCTCCTTTCTGAAAGGAGTTTTTTTCAAGTTTGGAAAATGAACAAGTCAAAAGATGAGAGATCTAGCGAATATTATTGTGTAACAAAATATTACTTTTCTGTTTGTCCTCAAAACTCATTTACTCTTCATGACGTGTGGGTATGGACGCTGTCTTGAAGAAATTTAATGTTCTGGATTCCTGATTCGAATTCTTTCCTCCCAAAAAATTGTTTCTAGACTCCGCAAGAAATTGAACCGCCTTCCCGAATAAGAATTTGAACAACAAGACCACTAATATTTAAGAAAATGGCATATAAAACTGTCTTTGTCCTCTTGTAATTCTTTGCTCTTTTCGGACCTTTGCTGTTTTTGTCAAATACATTTTATTGTAAAAATGTTTTGAGTGTAATGAAGCAATGGATTCAAGTTCCATTATCTGTTTGCATTTTAGACAAACGTGGATAGCAACAATTTCTGATTTTTTAAAAATAATTGTTTAGATATATTTACACGATGTCGTTTTCAATCATTTTTCAAAACATATACTGCATGAGTACTTAGCTTTTTTACTGTCAAATGTTTCTTTAAAATAGCGTGAACTACCCCCAAATTGATGCCTATTAAATATGTTATGTGTTTTAAAGTCAATCAAACATCATAAGTAATTAATTTGGTGAATTTTGGCAAAAAGAACATTGGTTGCTTGTTGCCTACGACGGTACCCATTTTTGATGCCATTATATCATTATTGTTCATGAAATCCTCCTGCTCATGTGTCTATAAAACAGGCATTGCTTGCTGTAAATTTCACAAATTTCAGTGAATATTTCTTTGGGATTCTTATCAAGTTTTACAGCAACTTAAATAAAGCGTTTAATTTCAGTCAAGTTTACCGATTCTTTACCATTCATTTTAATGCAGTGTCTTGTTTTCCAGCTTCTCTTAATGAAAATATTAGATGAAATGTGGTTACATAAACTGATATTAATTCATTAAAGATTCAATCATGAGAGAAAGTCAGTCTTAATGTCATATGATATCTGTGTATGTCATAGATTTCAGGGCATTATTTATTGAACAGCCCTCGTGCCACTTGGTTATGTGTGGATTTGTTTGTATGTTTGTTTTTCCTCTACTTTGAACGTTTTATGCTTCAGGTTTTTGGTTCATATTGTACAAATACAAACATTTATCGACGGAAACAATATAATATAGATATCTATTATAAATATTTCTAAATAGTGTGTTTTCTTGGCTTAGCATAAGATATACGCTGAAAAAAGAAAATGAATTTCTCCCTCAATGACACCCTTTTTAATATGGAAATATATCAACCACTTTCTATTGCAAATTTATGTGCACTTAATGTAATTCTACTAAGAGAGGATCTCATCTTTTTCTGCGTAAATGAACACATGGAGTTCTTTTACATCTTTGTTGTATTATCCTGACGATAACCAAAAATTTGATTGAAACTCAGAGAAAGAAATCACTCCAAACAACAACAACCCATGTATTATAATTTACTTTATAACAACATATTCAAATACACCCAGACATTTACAATAAATAATACATTATAGTTCACATTCTGTCAGGAGGTCTTTTTCGCGCCAGATTTGGTATTCTGTCGTTTGGTATTAGGGGGAGTTTTTCTCCCGCCTTTTGCTTTTGCTCGCCGATCATCCTCACGTGCCGAACTCTTTCTTGACTGTGGACGAGGGTTGATCAGTTCTGGAAATCAACATCAAAATATGAAAATCATTACCAATATAAACACCGACCATTAAGTCTTTTGTTGTATAAAAATTGTATTTAAAAATAAGTTTTCTCTAAACTTATCTTGTAAACTCTTAACATTTTATAAGAATACAGTGACATACGAGGGTTGATCCAAAAGTAATGTCCCAGTGTCCATATCTTTTATATTTGGTATCATATTATCAAATACAATATACCAAAAGATGCACAATTATAAATCTAATTAACTTTGAAATTTTAATTTAATAATGCTTATTTGAATTTATTTCATAGATGTTTAAAACATGGAGCATAGGGGGTGTCGCCGCGTCACAACGGATCGTCACGTTTTAAAGTGTATTTTTTCTTAGAATGAAAAAGACAAACGCATTAAAAAGATTCTTAAAAAGCACCTTATCTTCCAATTTTTTTAAAGACACAATTCTCATCATTTCTAGTATTTAATTGAAAATTTAATGGCGGCATTGGTATTTGTGATCATAAACATTGTTGTTTTACTCTGTTGAATTGAACAAAGGGATTGTCGAAATGGGAAAAAAGGCTCGACGAGTTGTAATACATTTTGCTTCAAAATATGGGAATTATCACTAGCGACATTTTCGTTAATCAATCAGACTTACAGAATAAAGAATGTAAATAAGAGACAATTAATAGATGGTTTCAGCAATTTTGGGCTGTTGATTGGTCACTGAATGATCAGCGGAGGACAAAAAGACCGAAAGATAGGAGATCGGGCGGAAACGTTCAATGCTGTCTGACGTTGTCAAAAAAGACAGACGTATAGAATGACATGTAAATTTAAAGTTTGTCTTTTGCTACTGTTCAAAAAATTTTGATAGAGGGCTAAATTACGAAAAGAGTGAGTGTATAATGGTACCAAGAATTCTTAAAGAAAGTGGAATTGGTGAAAGTGTTTGCGAATCAAAAATATTTTTAGAATGAAACGAAGGGGAAACGCTTAAAAGTATGATGGTGTGTATCCGTCATATATATGACGTTATATTTAGGTGCGGCGACTAGCATAAACGTGTATCGTTTAAAATCCGATATTTTAAAAAGTATACATCATAGTCCTTTGAATTTTCAGGTCTGATTTAAAATAAGTAAATCATCCATCATGTTTGATTTTGTTGCTTTACGTCGATTTAAAGCAATTTTATCAAAATTGTGACATTATTTTAATTTTGGATCAACCCTCGTATCATGCTGTGTAAATATTGGCATCTCAAACTTCATGTATAAGTAATATTGAAACATACTACTTAATGATAACAAAGCGTCTTATTAAACAGAGTGTTATTAGAAAACTGTCACAACAGAGAAAATTGATGTTCACCCATAAATTCTTGGTTGCCCTCCATGCTGGCAAGTAGCGGGATAAAGGTGAGCCTGTCGCCCATGGTGGAGTCGTTCTCGTCTCCATATATGTTACCTGTAAACAGATCAAACATTATCATCAGTTGGTCTTAATATTTTAAAAGATTTTTAATCGTTCTTTAATAAAAGAAATTTATGTCTTTTCTTTGGCCATACATGTATGACTGTTCTCTTCAATTTTCTTTAGTATATGAACAGGGGGAAAGGTTATTTTTTGTAAGCCAAATTTTACTTAGACTGGATTGCAATGCCTCAATATTTCACAGAAACTTAGAAAACCACTGTGACATATAGTTCCTTTTATAGGCATGTTCATCATAAACTTAAGGAGAAATGATACCTTTTATTTTAAATAATCTGACAAGGAAACCTTATTAATGTCAGAATTTTTAAAATTTAGTTTTCAAACAGGTAAACTGGGAAATTAACAGTTTGCATCAAGTAGAAAGCCCATATTTTGACGTAGTTGTGAGATTTGAGGAAGTTAAAAAGCGTGGAACAACTTACTTTATTGTTGTCATCAATAAGTTGCGGTTTTACTTACGCATATCTTATAAGAGTGTTTTGTTTTTAAACGATTACACAAACAAATGTGTCTGTAGAGGAAAATAAAACCATATTTACAAGCCTTTGTATAATATAGTATACTAGTATTTGAAAGTTAGAACTTTAGAATTTTACCAACTCTTGAGGTACTCTGGTCCTCAACCAGGAAGGTTATCAACTCTTTAATTTAAAATTTCAATTTAAAAAGTCTCATGCATAATGAAGCTTGAAAATTAAATCTTTTCATGCAACAATTTAATTTTCATTTTTTTGTCTCTAAATATGCTCCAAGGTTCTTTGAAATGCTCAAAAAATCTTATAGATTGTCGAAATTTTTAATCTTACCATAGAGACCATTGTTTATTAACATGACACGAAATTAGCTTAAATACGTAGGATTTTTATTTCCAAGATATGTTTGTTGATCTTTGAATACGAAAATGTATCATAGGTGTTTTATTTGCATTTCCTGAAAATTTACATACATATATTTGAGATTTAGTCTATTTTCCCCTATGTAATATGATAAACTTGAAAGATGGAGTCTGAAGAATTATCGTGTGGTTAAAACACATTACTTTTAGAATTCAGAAACATTAATGTGAGCACTTTTCAATAAGTCAATGCCTGATTTTCAGAACTTGGGGATCAGAATACTTTAACCATGGATAATTCTTTTCAGCTTGCATGTACAATATTTTACAATCAATAGGCAATCATAGTTTCATTTCAAACGTTTTATAAAATATCTATTTTTACTGTAATTAATTTCTATACAAATTATAGACTTTATACTCCCATGATAGTTTCAAAGTATGAACTTTAATTTATAACCTAGATGAGGCTATTAAAGCTCAGTATCAAAATAACCGGAGCATAAAAAACCTGAGTACTACGAGGGGCGTTCAATAAATAATGTCATTGGGGCTCAGAAAGAAGCAAACGACGCTTTTCAATGATTAAGTCTTCATGATTTTACTTAATAATCTCTTTTTATTCAAACACATGTCCGTAACATTTTTTATCCAATTTCTGATTGTTTTTAGAACTTATTTTTGGGTATGACCCTCAGTTTACTGGAAAAAGGCAGATCCAATGATTTCCTGGACTTGTTTTTTTCCTTCTGAAAGGTGTTTTTTTCATTTTTGGAAATAGAAACAAGTTAAAAGGTCAAAGATCTGGCAAATATTGTTAATGTGAAAAAACATTAACTTTCTGTTTATCCTGTAAACCCCTTTACTCTTTAGGGCATGCGGGTTTGAACGCTGTCATGAAGAAATTCAATGTAGTGGATTCCTGATTCTGTGTCCTTTCTCTAATAAACCTTTCGATTTCTTTGCAAAAAAACTGCTTTCTAAACACCTCCAGATATTAAACTGTCTCCCCGAATACGAATTTGAACAGTAATACCACTAATATTTAAGAAAAATGCATATAAATCTGTTTTTGTGCTCTTGCAATCCTTTGCTCTTGACAGACCTTTGCCGTTTTTATCAAGTACATCTTATGTTACATTTTGTTTTAATGGTTTTAAGCAATAGATTCATGTTCCAATATCTGTTTGAATATAAAACAAACGTGGATTACTACAATTACTGATATTTTAAAATAAATGTTAAGACTTTTGTACACGCTGTCGTTTTTACTCATTTTTCAAAATATAGAGTGACCTTTAAGTACCAAGTGTCAAACGTTTCTTAAAAACAGTGTAAACTACTCCCGATATGATGTCTATCAAATTTGCTATGTGTCTTAAAGTCAATCATACAACATCAAATATTATTTGTTGAAATTTGGCAAACAGTACATAAGTTGTTATAATTTTTGTTGGCAAGGAGGGTACCCATTTTTGATGCCCATTATATAATTTTTTATCATTGAAATCTACCTGCTAATTTGTCTATAAAACAGGCATCGGTTGCTGTAAATGTCACATATTTCAGTGAATATTTCTTTGGGATTTTTAACAAGTTTTACAGCAGCTTTAATGTAGCTTTTATTTTCACTCTAGTTTACTGATTCTTTACCATTCATTTATAATGCAGTGTCTCGAATAGCCTTTGTTTCCCAGCTTCTTACGATAAAACTATGTGATGAAAAGTGGTCACATAAACTGTTATAAATTCATTAAAGATTCAATAATGAGAGAAAGTCAAGCTTTATGTCATATGACTACTATGTTGTATGTCATCGAGCTAATGACATTATTTATTGAACGCCCCTCGTATGTCTACGATTGACTTTTAAAGCTAGAATCGAAGAAATTTTTTTTTTTATTTATTGTACATTAATAAAATTTATGTATATTTAGCAGTATGTTTTATATGATATAAAATATGATCAATATATACCTACGGTTAATTTTATATTTATTTAATTAACATATATATTGAAATACTTATACCAGTATATAACTTATATTTTACGAATTTTTGACATAATTTTTCTGCGGTTTTATTTATTTTTGTGTGGTTTACTCGTATTTTACACGAATTGCTATGGACTTTTGTTTATATTTAACAAACAGCATTCTTACTTAAAGACCAGTGAAACAATATAAAGAAAGCATAGCAAACAAGAACTCTGAAAACAATTTACATCAAAGAAGGGATCAGGTGCCATGGAGAGAGCAGTTAGTATCCTGTGCCAATCGGTATTTCAGTCACTTTTGCCGTGTGTCCTTTTTAATGATAGGATAAACGGAGAAATCAGTTGTAAATTTAGTAGAAAAATAATATCTCAAAAAATGTGATGGCTGACTTCAGCCACCAAGTGACCTTAAAATAAAGGATACATGTACCACATGCAGAGTCTGAAACACGTGTTTCGTATACAATGACTAGATATTTTACAAGAAAAGTAATGGTAATCTAAATCTAACAACTAAGTTTTATTATAAAATGTGATGACTTTCACTTATCAATCGTCAACTTCCCTTTCCTATGCAGCAACATACACTTATCACCTGCACATAGGGTTTATATCCCTAGTTGATTCGATAGACAAAAACATGCTCTATCTATCTACGAGGTAAATTTTTTTAACAAACAAGTTGCTGAAACAAGAATATGCATAGTGTCATTTAAACCATAGTCATAATTTCGTAAGCTCATAGTCAAAAATAACCTCGTCAGCAAATACAGTCTATCTTTAAGTCAAATGTGGAGTGTTTTTTTTTCATTAATTGTTAGTATTAATTGTTAGGATTTTTGCGTTATTCTCTGATCATGACAAGGAGCACGGGACACGGGATGCTCACTCCTCTATGGCACCTGATCCAACCCCTCACGTTTTGGAGGTCCATGTTTCCTCTACTATTTTGTATTGTTTGAATCAACTTTTTAGCTTGAATACTGTTTATAATTTCCAAATATCTTTTAATTTTTTCATTCCTTACTAAAGGTTGTATTTGCAAAATAGTCATTTAATTGACCATTGAATATGCAAAATGTTTCCCTTGAAACGAAATTTTGGATACTCTTTTATGCAGGCATATTGTCATATATAGAAGTGATGTTGACATAATATAAATTGAAGCTATTGTGTTTATCACTTACAGTTTACTGAATAGTTTGCCATCAAAGGTAAACTTTCCAAACCACACGCAAATTTGTTTGTCTCCATAACGTCTTTAATTTGAATCTCAGTAGAAAAAGGTATGATTTCAATTTAAAAAAAAAAAATTATAAAATTTCCCCAAAATATATTTAAATCTCGGGTTGAAGGCCGAAGCTAAAGACTTTTCTTCTCATTATATTGTCAGCGAGGAACTCAAACATCTTTTTGAACTTCAGAGTGTGTGTAGTATCAAAATAAGAATTTTTACTGTTTCTCAAGACCAACGTCAAGAAAGGAATATTCGCGAGTTTCAAATTTTTATGGAATTGTGCAGTGATGTCAAATAGCCTGTAGGTCCTTCATTCATAGTGGGGAAATGCGGTACTACGTTTTGAAAATGGAACGTTTTGATCCATTTATTTCGGTGAATAAAATAGTTAAAAATTTGTTATAGTTTTTAAAAGAGTTTTATAGCATTCACATTTGATTAAAAATACTTTTTGAATATGTATTTTTTAGTATGTTGTTTCAAAATATTGCTGATTTATATTTTTCACATGAGGAGTAAAGAAAGAGGCTTGTTAAAAAATTTTGCTAAATAAATTCCCTCTATGTGTCTTAAGTTTGTATGTTTTGATTTTAATAAACGTTTGGAATCCAATATTTGTATTTCAAAATGAATTTGGTTGATGGTAAAATTGACGTTGTATATATCAATTTTACATCTTGCTCAATATTTCAACTAGATATGACCTTAAACCCCTACCGTCGACTTTGAGTAGGATCAGCGTCTCCCGCTCCCTCAAATGGTCTATACCGTAATCGTACGGGAAGTTCCTCAGGTGTTTTACCACGCCTTTCTCATCCGAGAGTTCCACTATGTCTGAAACAGTAGGGCAGGGTTTAAAACAACATCACAAAGTAAATCATGAAATTCATTATATGATTGAATAATTTCCAACTCTCTGATTGGCTGAGATCGAACTATGTTAGAAAAATACTACGTTGTATTGACCTGCACGTGACGTTCCAGGTCAATACAAGGATTTATTTCCTCTACATTGATCTAAAAATAGATTGGGAAATTCCAAATTAATACAAATTGTTTTGGAAAGCTGTTTATATGACTATGATTTTTTTTTCATGTCAACAAAACATAAGCAAATATATATTTAGGGTGTGGGTGGTAAGAAGGGATGCAGGGTCCCCCCTCCAACACTTTTACTGAACAACAATTTTTTTTTTACTTTTTGGCAGTCATTTTTCCCTGATAATACTCTTCCTTTCAAAATCTATCCTATAAAAAAGACTGACATTATATATTTTTTTCATGGCAACTAAAATTGATAAAAAAACATTTCAAATTGATATGACTAGTAAGGTTTATTCACATTTTAATTCTGCTTTTCTCTTGTATTTGGCTAGGACTTAATAAAATGCAAACAAGTAATGAGCTCTATCATTTTATAAGTGAATCATATAATAAAACAATTATTGCTGTTTTTTCGGTCAATACAATGATTTAGCCATCTTCGAAGTACAATATTCACCTCGCCCTTCGGGCTCGGTGAATATTGTACTCTCAGATGGCTAAATCATTGTATTGACCTCAAAAACAGCAATAATTGTATAATATTGTTGTTATTTAGTTTTCTCAAACTGCTCTCAAGCAACTAAAGGTTTTGAGTAATTTTTATCCTTAAAATACCCATTTGATAATGATGTAATTGAAGTAATTGGTTTGAATTTTAAAAAAAAATGTAAATCTTGGATGGAATCAAGAATTTAAAGCAGAAGATGTTTTTCAAGAGGTTAAGAAGGGTGTGAAAAATTCTCGAGAGGGACGTTAAACAAAATACAAACAAAATCATCTGCAAAGACCATGTTGTATACAGGTATTATAAATGACACAACAGGAAAACAAGAGCATCAAAGAAGGTTAAGACATAAGTAAGGACATTCAATTACCTTCAATTTGTAATTCAAAAACATTGCTATAATTTTTTCACTCACTTTGTAAATGCCAAATCACATGGACCTTTTTGAAGGCCCATGACATTGTTGATTTATATTGATGTGTTGTTAATTTGTTTTTATCAAATTAACCACTGGTTAACACCTAACATTTTTTTATATAAATAATGGCTCTTAATCATTGTAGATATTGAAGGTATTCTGTTCAGATCGATTCTGTTTGTTCTTTAATGTGATCCCGAGGAATAATCACTGTACAAAGTAGCAAGGGAAGTTATCATCAATGTTTGATAATATGCCACCCACTTCACCAAGATTGCCAACCTTTAATCGAGAAACTAATGATCGACTTACTTTTGAAGAGCTGAGGGTCTTTCTGCCTTAAAAGGACATTTTTTAAGGAGGAATAGCTGTGTGTCTTGAAACACAAAACTGCAATAAATTGATGTGATTTAATCGTTCAAGGCCACGTAGGACACACAGAAAAAAACCTAATTAAAGTTATATAGAGCTGAAAGAATACGTGCGCACGACTAGGAGATCATATAACTAGACGGGACAAGATAAACTTTGTAATATCAACAAAGCGGATCTGGTATCTTTTAATAACCAGCATTACAACAATCAACTGACGCTAAACATTGTTATCGTACATCTTAATTAGAAAAAAGATTTAAATATTTAAAACCACCTGTTAGGTAAATAGTATTTTTTTAGCCTGCCTGGTCGTACCTATGTACGTAAGGTTCCTGTGTCAATATTTGACAGGGCAGTGAAGAAAGCATTGTTTGACTTGGGGTAGAATTTTCTGTTTTCTGACTTACCATCTCGCTGGCAATCGCAGCGTTTCTTGATGTGTTGAAGAAGGACGTCGTTTCTGCAATTAGCATTGAAGAGACGACTCTGCTCGTCTATTTAAAATAAAAATAAAAATAATTTTCATATTTCCTTTTTTCTGTATATTCTTTGCAGCTTTTATTACCTGTTTATGAATGAATGTTTCAGGTAGTATATACATTTAAAACTGTGAAGATCATGAAGAGATAGCAATAAAACAACTGGCAAGAAAAGAAAGTGTATTTGTTCAAAGATGTGTTAAAACCTACAGACACTTCGCACATTGGGCAATAAAACAATTAAGTGTAAAAAGGTTACGATCAATGTGTATTTGATAGGAATAATCCACTTGGACTACATTTTCAAATGTTATCAACTGACTGAAAAGGTAAATTGTAAATGGCGAAGCCAATAAAAAGGAAAACCGCTACTTATCGCCTTAATATCAGTATTTTATTGACAACATGCGAATACACTTAACAATTCACACTCCATCATGGTAATGCTATCCAAAAACATGCGTCTTTGTTAGAAATTAAAATATTATACGAGCTTTCAATGTAACGCAGTTTATGAAAAACCTGACAGAAATCGATATTAAATAAATGAATTATAAAAACATCACTCCAGTTCTTTTCGAGATGCAAAATTAAAAGGGTTTGAATAAAGAACGTAATTCTGGGTTTATTCAATATGGTTGAAGCACTTTACAAGATATATATTGATTACAAATAAGTTTCAATTACGTCTAGGGGAATCCTAAATGAATTTTGATTATAGCTAATTCGTCGTTTTAGAAAGGCACAAAAGAAGAAATATAGATACTTGCCCCCATACTTAACCGTCACAAACATTCTGATAAATTCTACCAAGTCTTCAATTCTTTACGTCCAAATTTCCACAAGATGGACCATTTTCAGTTACTTCCATTAAATTCCAAAGAAAACAATCTTGGTAGAATCACAAAACAGCAGGAAAGAGAAAATCAAAGAAGAAAATCGAAAGTTGTGATCCAATGTATATATAAACAGCTTTCCAAAGACACACGTGGAAACCAAGAAGGTAAATAAAAGCGTCGGGTTGAAGTGGAGCGAAGTTGCAAACAAAACAGCGAGTCTTCCGCAGAGTGAGCACGTCCTGGGGAATGGGACGTCCTAGCTAGGAGTTAAAGGCCCGGAATGATTCCTCCGATAGAGGTGGGCACGTGTCAATTCGCGCAGATATTTAAATTTATATAGCTCGTAATTAGTGTACCCGTAATTAAAATGATTGGAGAGACAATGGGGATAACATGTGGACAATTTTTTAAATGTTTTGCACGGAGAGGAACCTATGGAATGTATTACAGATTGTAAAAAAAGAATGAGGGAATTGATTTTGGTAACCAACATAGCGAAAGAAAATTTCTTTTTTATTTTTCTTTTGTTATTGCTCTATAATGACAGAAAGGAAAATTTACACTTATCTTCATCAAATATTTCTCTAGTTCAATCTTTTTGAAATGCAATAAATATTGAGATTTTCTTCTTTTTTATAACCCAATTGATGTACTGTTTAAGGTTAAGTCATGCATTTGTACATGATAGCATGCGATTCTACAGCAAACACTGACAACATTAGCTTTATTGTAGTCTTTTTGCTGTATTCTGTCATTTTTTGGACTTTTTTTACTATAAGCACAATGGTCTCTTATGAATTATGGTATTGTGTTCTAATTGGTTGTATATTAGCTGTATGTTTGATATGCTTTTAACGTAATACTTTGTCCTTTATTTGTTATAAAATATTTTTACAATATAAATGACGTGTTGTATTTTGTCAGACAGAGTACCTACCTATCTATTTTCTTAAAGTGTTTTATTGTACATGCAGTAGAAACACGCCACAGTACGTACAAATGTTTACCTTACAGATGAAAGCTTTAAGAACGTTTTACATTTTTTTTATAATTACTTAACTTTGTGGAATGTTTTTAGTCTTTTTTTAATTCTTGAAATTTTCTTTTTTTAAGTAAAGAAATTCTGGATTGACCGTGTACTGTTTTTCTGTCATAGTGAAGATACTTAAGTACTGTACATGTACATGATACTGTTATATATATTGAAAGCATTTGTTTATAGCTCCCTCTGCATCTATGTATGTTTCAATAACCTAGCTGAAGGATTTGAATATCTTCGGAAATTAGCATTATCTGGCAAATAAGGAGTTAAAATTTGAATATGTAATTAATGTTTTAACTATCAAACTTCCATTTTTCTGTAAGAAGGCCTAAATTTGATTGCAAAAGATGATAGAGGAAGTTTGATGAAATATGGTAAATTACGTACAATTATAAACCTATAACATTAAGTACGATTTCTACATGTATATAAAGAAAGCAAACTATAGTATATTTGAATTTATTACAATACTTTCTCCATTCAACATTCTTGGTTATCAATTTCTGTATCTTTCACCTTCATAAACAATTTAAATAAACTTTCTAAAAGCATTTTGAGTCAAAATCTAAATCCTGAAAAATATATCGTAGTTCGTTAACATTGAACGCAGATTTGAAAATGTACATGTATACATACAGATGTAAATATCCTTCCTAAATTGTGTTGACATTGACACGTTTTTCTACATCCTTATGTAAATCTGACATTGTTCATCCTCAACCCAGATATAACATTTACCGGACGTGGATACTCCAACAGAAAAATAATACACAGCCGAGTTATATCTGGTTCTAAACAATACAAATTCAACTCTAGGAGTGACTGTTTCTAAATAAATTTAAAAAAAAAAATCAAATTCGACATGGAGTTTGTTAGTAATACCGGATTATTTTTTAAAGTCTTTTTTTTTTAAGTTCAGTAGCCTGTGATTGTGACATACAAACAGGAAAATGAAATCGACAGGATAATGACCTGTGTTTGAATATAAATATATTTTTGGTGATTCATAAAATGTTCTTTTTCACCTATCGTTGTATACATAGTCATAGTAGCAATGGTCAAATGAATCACGTTTCCTTGAAAATGAACAAAAACCATGAGAGGGTGCATACTGTTCTCCACCCTTGCATTGAGTAAATTATGAGTAAGAATCAAATTAGTATTATTTATGGTCATAACGACTTATTTCGATCTGTCCTTCGGCGACATACATGACCTACAATATTATAAGATCCTCTTTTTTTCAAAAAGTGATAAAATCTGCTGAGATAAATAAAACACTTTTTTTTCGCGGAAACTGTCATTTTGGGCTGACTCTGCAGCCAATCGTTGGCCTTGTGAGTACCGGTCCCTTTCCTGTTTATGTTAAGGCAGTCTTCTCGCGTGCGTGGAAGTGAGTGGAGCATGTGAAAATTTACTGGAGTTAACAAAGGGTCCGTAAAATGAAACAGAAGTACACCTTCTGGGATAAACTGAGTTTGAAATGTGTTTTGGTTGGTGATATGAGCGTTGGCAAGTCCAGCCTAGCTGCTAGGATTTCTTCGAGAACTTTTAAATCGGACTATTCTCCAACTCTGTTTGACAATTATTCAGGTAGACTATTTATGGATGGTTTCTAGACTTCCCTTAACGGATTGTTTTGTGTATGATGACAGTTTGTATTGCTGTTTGATTTAAAAATCAGTGAAAACGTCTGTGTTCCCGATTCATTTCTTTGGCTATGTTGGAATTTTAGCCGAATGACATGAAAGACTTTTGAAATTGAGAAAAATAGAAAGTAGCGTGTGTGAGATATTTCAAATCTTTCTTCTTAAATTTACAGTAAACCATTCATTCTATATCAGGGATCTTAAAAAAAAAGAAAGAAAGAAAAAGAAAAGCCAATTTATTAGTAATAGGGCGTCTTTCGTTTAAAATACCTTGGTTTTAAGTTATTAGGTGCATGCTGTGGTTAGGGTATATACGTTTACCTGTGTATTAGGTGTGTGGTTGTGGACAGGTAGCTTTACCTGTTCATTCCCGTGAGTCAATCGTTTATAACCTCCTCCTACCGTTATTAAAGGTTACAGCTGATTTTAACACCGTTAAGTAACCGAATCCTATAGGCATGACTTAATGACATTCTTTACTTTCCGTTATTTGTCTTTATTTTGAATACAGAGTTCATGTCAGGTCATGAGGAAAAAGTCAGTCAAAGAATTGTGATTTTAAAGTTCATTTATATTTCAACTTATGATTTTAAAAAACTTGAACTCTCTTTCAATAATTATAAAACTTACAGTTAAACGTTGAAATGAGAATAAAAACTAAAAAGTAAATTAGATATTTAGAGAGTGCTAAATCTTAATGTTTATGTGCCAAATTAATAGAAAATCGAAAGTGTTAATATAAAGAGTGAGAATACATGTATTTTATGCACTTGAACGTTGATGTACTCTCCAAAAGTTTACTCCGAAGATAGTTTCCCCAAACCTCTTTAAACTTGATAGACTGTACTCAGTTTATTGCGTAATTATAATGCGATGCAAATTCTATGTTTCCTTATTTTAATACTCAATCCTACTTTTTAACTATACATATTTATATAGACAATTATTTTGTTACATAGTTATTTAAGCCCAATTTTGTCAAGTCGGTTAAGTATATATGGAACCCGGAAATTAAAGAAACAAAACTGAGCTGATTTCACAGATTTTATGTCATGCAAGCCTATTTTTTTTCGGAAATAAAAAAAAAAAAGTTTATATATTAAACATGTGTTAAATATTTAATAATCATATAAACTTTAATTAAAATAAGCGTTGCTTTTGGCAGAAAAATATCCTATTACTTTAATACGTTCAAACAAATAATTTGGGTAAACGTACACTGTAATATTGCATTTTGCTCCTTTATATTTTTAGAATAAAGATTCTTTTTTCATTGAATCCCTAAAGTAAATCATCAAGTTTACTGTTAAAGCATCGTTCTCTTCAAAACAATTTAAAAATTTCACTTTAAATTTAATAAGTACATAATTGTCATATACAAATTTAAATTGAAAAATTATGAATTTTTATTGAGGACATGATTATAAATAGTAATGTCATAATTATTTTAAGTTTAACTTTAACTGACCTGTTTCCCTCTTTTTTTCAGCCACCGTGACAGTACAAGGAATCCCCTATCATCTAAATATCTTTGACACGGCTGGTAAGGTAGGTACATATAAAGAAATGCCTAAACATAGGTTTATGATTGATTAAGAAAGATGTTTGAAGCACTTAAATGTAGCAATATAATTGTAGAAGTTGCTGCAAAGTCTTCTTTTATCCACTTTGGTTACCGAACACAGCAGTTAACTTTCAAATGAATATCATTTTACAAAGAATTTTTTTAAAAGTCAAATTGAAATTTATTTTAAAAAAAATTCTTGAAGAAAAGTTCGTAAAATAACTTGAAAATATGTATCTCTCATGTGACCTCGGCTCTAAGGGGACATATTTGATGAATTCATGTTTTGTCAATTGGTTTGCACTCGTATCTCCCTGACGACGTTTTAAAAATAATATGTAAACCTTTGTTACTCTCTTTTCCTTAAACTCTGCTCAAGGGTCTATGTTGACCTAATCTGGTTTTATGTCATATGCAGATGATGCTTGTTACATTACTCCTCCATGGCACCTGATCCCATCTCTGATGTTTTGGAGGTCCGTGTTTGCTCTGCTCCTATTTTGTACTGTTAAATAAACTTTTGAGCTTGGATACTGTTCGTTATCTCCATATCTTTCATGTATATGCTCTTGTAGGTTTTTAAAATATTAACAAAATCAAGATTAACAAAATATATGTCACAAGGGCATTTTATCGCAAGATACATTTCCAAAACACCATAGGTAATATCGTAAAATTATGATATCGCAAAGTATCGGGAAAATTATAACATACTCTGAAGTAACTAATTATATAATCGGTTATGCCATAATATCAGCTGTTCTCAAAATGGAGTACAACTTGCAGCAAAAATTTGTTGTAAACTTTTATTATAAGAATATCCTAAAATATAAATATTGTACAGGATGTGATAATGAATATTCAGACCAGAAAATGCGAAGTTTTCATATATTAACAATAATTAAAAGTTTGAATCAGATTAATTTTAATGTAAAGATGAAAGACAGTTAAATCCTGTATAAAAAAATCTGAGAACAATATCAAAGTGAAGTCAATTCATGAAAGTTAACTTATTCTTTAACAATATGAAAGATGCTCGAATGTGTCTGTATAAAGGTTTCCGTATTTTAAGCCAGAATTTTCCAGATTGAAGAAATTCAAAGATTCCCTTTAAATTTGCACACTTTATAATATATAACAAGAAAAGTCTCGACACAAAACAGTGGTCAGACATGGTTTCTTTTTTTAGGGTTGGGAAACACTTGGAGAATAACATTTTAGGATGAGTTGCCATAGGAAGTAGAAAATGTTGGATACTTCTGACTCAAAATAACTTTGAATATATGCTGATTCAAATGATATATAAAATGTATATGTAGCGTTAACCGTAGGTTGAATAAATTTGAATTTGCACTACATAAGGATGTTTGCAGATAAATTTGCCTCCTTTCTGTAAAATTTCAGAAAAAACAATTTTTAAAAGATTTTTAAAAGATTATACGTATAATTGGATTTCAGAAATATGCGAGAAATTATTTTTTTGTTACTGAAAACGTGGTTTGATAAAAAGAGAACTGTATTGATTCACCAGTCGTATAATTGTCGCACGATGGAAAATGGCGGACGAAAACATACAAAACAAAAAAATCCTACATTATATTTTCTTCACATTTCAGGAGGACTTCACGAAGGTCAGAGTGTTATCCTACATAAATAGTGACGTCTTCTTGGTTTGTTTCTCCATTGATGACGTCAAATCGCTAGTTCACGTTCAAGAATCATGGGTACCGGAACTACGTCAGCATTTACCAAACACACCTTTTGTACTAGTTGGAACAAAACTAGACGTACGGTTTCAAAAGCCAGATATTCAGGTTAGTGATTTATCAACATTATTCATGAAGTTTTGCATCTTTATTATTAAGACATATTTCAGCTACTTTTGGGAAAAAATAATTATTCAAACACTTTTTCCTACAATTCCAAGTACATTATATCCACAAATCACTAAGTGTCGCGGACCAGACACCGAACCAATGCTTGAAAACGTAACAGGCAACCAACTTTCACTGACCGACGACCAAAAATTAAATAGAACACACGGACGAACAGACTGCATGGTTTGTTGATGACAACTACTGGATGACCCCTTTTGATAAACCAAGCTTTAAGGACATGTTTCTAACGTCGTGGCACGTTTTCATCTGGATTATAAGATGCCCAGGAAGTATTTACACTAAACAAAATTGTGTCAAAATTCGAATACTTAATAAACTTTGAACGCCCTTATGTACACTCTTGAGAAGTCATTGGCACGTTCCGTACAAGATATATATATGAGCACCCTTCCGCTGAGAGGGGGGACTTCCTTATTTAATGGCCTTTTTCCTTTTTTCCAGGAAGGAGCTTCAACATTTAACGTCTGATAACACCACAGTTTCCTAATTTCTCAAATTGTTAGTACATACAATGCATAACACGAACTCTTCCTCTTCAATTTTTGACCAAAGAAAAACAGAAATATTGTTCCGTATCAGGCTGCAGTCTGTGGATAAATGTCCCTACTTTTGACTTTATGACAGAATGCGTGTCTTTCATAGCATTCTTTGTTGTATTAAACAAAGATGTACAACGATATTTCAAGGGCAAAACGTAGAAGAAAGGCAGTTTAGAATGAGACGGTGATAGAACGCGGATGTTTATAAATTAAATTTTGTAAAATAAATATTTGTTCTGCTTGCTGCAGATTGTCGACAGTTCTTATTTCTCCAAATGCAGGGTCGGCGTTCATTTCTACATTACATTAAATTTTTGTTGTTGTACTTTCAGGTTGTCAGCAGTTCTTATGTCTCTACAAAGCAGGGTGCGGAGGTAGCGTCTGCCGTGGGGGCCTACAGTTACGTAGAGGTGTCCTCACTCAGTGCAGACGGTGTAGACGATTTGATAAATGAACTAGTGGCGGCCGCAAAGGCTGGATGGGAAAGAAAATGTGCCCAGGAACAGAACTGTCCTTCCTGTGCCATTATCTGAAAGAAATTCCAAAGAAATTTTATCCCGGTGCTATTTTTGGAAAGGACGACACAAATGTCATTTCTCTATCCGACCCATAGTGGGATCGACTCGGTTCTGCAATACTCAGAGTTTGGATAACTGATTTAGTTTGTCTTTCAGACAGTTTTTGAAGTACATGTAAGTGCTGTGTGTTTGTGAGATTGTTCTTTGTTTAAATGTTTTATTTTTTTTTTATATTTGTTAAATTAATTTTGAGATTAAAAAGAATACAATACAATCTTTTCTTGTAAATAAAATGTATACACTGAAGCACAGGCGCTTGTTTCATACAGTGAGCTTAGTTTTCTACTATATAATAACACATAGTAGAAAACTAAGCTCACTGTATGAAACAAGCGCCTGTGCACTGAAGGTAAAACCTAGTGAATTTAGCTAGTGTGCCTCGTATAGCGTTTGTCATGATTAGTAATCTTTCAGTTTACTGGCTAAGATAGTGAGTTTTGAAGCGGGGGTCGTATAGATACTTACATACATAGTGAAAGTTACTTATAAATTCTAGATTTACTAATCTTATCTAGTAAATATACCCAATACCTAGTAAAACTGCTTTTAAGGTAGTGATTGTATGGACAATAAATTTACTAGCCTCCTTAGTGACTTTAACTACAGTGTAGCTATTTTTTTTTTTTTACAGTGGATATACGAATCAATTACTAGATACACATCAATTACTTTAACCCTAAAAAAAATTGTATACTCTACAAAGTTTTAACTATTTGGGTTGTAAGCTAATAAGGTTTGAAGTGGGGAAGGACTACCCGAGTTTTTAGAACATACGTATACTAGTATCCAATCTTTTTGACATATTTCTATTCAAAACATCTTTAAGGTAGATTAGTCAATTTTGAGATCAAAGTAGAAAAGAGTCAGAATATTGCTACTTTAACTACCTCAAAAACAGATTAATAGTTACTTTTTCATATATTCAATTTAAAGGTGAATACAGTCACTGTGTATATATACATACTCAATTTCAATTTAATATGCGTATATGCTTTAAGGGCATACGCATAATTATTTTATATTATGTAGTTTATTTCACGATTTGGACAGGATTGTCTTTAAAATATATTTTCAAAGTGCGAAATATGAGTGGAAATTCTTTTTTCTTAAAATCGGTCTCAAGAGGGAACTAAATTCCACATAATATTAAACAAGAGGCCCATGGGTCTTACAGGTCACCTGAGCATTATGCAACAACTTTCCAGTGATTGAATTTGATTCATGTTTTAAGCCAGATGCTATGGCATTCACAATTTTGAAAGAGGCAGCATTGATCATCATAAATATACACTTAGCGTTGCTTAGTTTGGTTACTTAATACCCATAGGCAGGGTAGGGGAACAAAAAATGCATTTCAACTAATTAGTAATATTCAGCAATAATCAGTTGTGCCCCTACCACACATGAAACCCTGACCCTTAGGCCTAGATCCACACATTGCACAATTTTTGAAAAGGCATCCTTGCTTTTCAAAAATGTTTGATTAATACCAAGGAGTAGATTTCAAACAATTCATTCATTTTCAGTATATAAGTACAGTCCCCCCCCCCCCCCTCTTTGGAACCCCAGACCATGGGGCCTTGACATTCACAATTCTGGAAGATTAGGGCCCTTACTCATAACTATAGGTACTTTATCTGCTTAATATCCGGGAGCAGAGAAGAAAACTTTCAAAGATTTAATGTAAAGGGTGTTAAAAAAGTTCGTTCCAATTTTTTTCTTTTATTTCAAGAAGAAATACGATGAGAAGATATTTACAATTTGTGATATTTCATGTTTACAGAGTCCATTCTTGCTACTGATAAGGTTTTAACTGTCTTTTGTTGAATCAATAAGGGGAGGGCAGGTATTAAAACAGATGATGTCTGTTCAGAAAAAATATGGATGATGCATATTTGTGACATATATTAAGCACGCAGGTCAATACATTCTTTCAAATACAATGCAAAAATTATCAAATCTGTGAAATATTTCAAAATGACAAACCTATTCTTTTGAAAATTGATATATCGTTCTTATACCTACGCTCATCAGCTTGTCTGATGCAAGATAAGCTATGAAGAAACAAAAGTACAAATGTAACTTATCCTTCATTTTCACTCAAAATGACCAGCATTCCTATCATTCGGGTGCTTTAAAGATGTTATATATATTTTCATATGGAAGAAAAATCCAATAATTTCCTGCTAGAAATGATTTGCCATAAATCTAAAGCACACTCTTGTGATTTTGTCAGACTTGAAAATTCATCTCTTTAGTTAAGCACTACTTTAAAATTTTTGTAAATATTTCTTAACACCCCTTACTTTCACTATATAATCAATAGAGCCCTGCCCTAACACCAGAATCCCTGAGCCCGGGGCCATAAAATTCACAATTTTGGTAGAGACACTCTTGCTCATCATAAATATGCTCTTAGTTAGTTTATATAATACCCAGGAGCAGAGAAGAAGATTTTCAAAGAATTCATGTATTTTCACTATATAATCAATAGAGCCCCACCCTAACACCAGAATCCCTGACCTTGGGGCCATAAAATTCACAATTTTATAGAGGCACTCTTGCTCATCATAACTATGTACTTAGTTGGTTTACTTAATACCCAGGAGCAGAGAAGATTTTCAAAGAAATAATGCATTTTTACTATATACTTATTTAGCCCCGCCCTAGCACTAGAACCCCTGACCCCAGGGCCATGAATTTCCCAATTTTCTTAGAGGACTCAATGCTGATTACAATCATGCAAACAGTTTGACTGCTTGATGTCCAGGAGTAAAGAAGAAGATTTTTTAAGATTGCATTAATTTTAGTGGTTTTGGCCCCACCCCTCAGGCCCCAGGGGGCAGGGATCATAAAATTCACAACTTTTGTTCCCCTTCACCCATAGATGCTTTGTTCCAAATTTGGTTGAAATTGGTTCAGTGGTTGCAGAGAAGAAGCTGAAAATGTTGAAATGTTAAAAATGCACGACGACGGACGAAAACGGATAGCAATAGGTCACCTGAGTTTACAAAATACTGAATTTTCTTTTTAATACATTTCCTCTTATTCCCCTTTGCCTTATAATGATCTTTCTTTAACACATTGTCAAAGGCTGTGGCTGAGCTGTTATACTGGTACTAGTATATAGATTAAAAAAAACAAACAAACAATGCACCAATGGATTACAAGAACGTATTGGAGAAAATGTGCAGTTGAAGTATGTCGGGATGGATTTTTTTTTACTCCCACTATCTAGCTAGGGGATACTAGTAATGTTTTATCCGTTCGCAACGGAGTTGGTTTTCAATTATTTTTCCAGTTGCCTTGGCCACTTTCAAAAACTATAAGACATATGTCCGTGTTCATGTCTGTATAGCTCTTCCTGCATGGTCCCGTTACTAAGATAGTGAGTATTGCCTAAGCGAGATAACCACTATTTTTCTTTTTAAAAACAAACATTATGAAATGATAATTTGAATTCAATTATATATATATTTTTTTTAAATTATCATTAATAAAAAGTCAATTTACAAAAATAAAAAACCTAGAAGTATATTCAGCTAGAGCGGTCAACTGAATACTCCGGTTGAATTCTAATAGTATTATTATACGTATATGGGCTTATAAATAGCCCCTGGGGCCAGTTTCACAAAGCTGTCTTATGACTAAGATCTGTCTTAAGACCGAAAATTATCTTAAGATTTCACCATAGCTGTTTCACAAAACTGTTATATCTTATGATAATCTTAAGATCTATCAAAATCTTAAGACAACTAGATACATGAAAGTGAAACTGGTGGCAGCATATATTTTGGCTAAAAAGTTACCTAAGGATATTAGTGATAAACGGTTTTTAGTGATATAACAATCCTTTGGACTATATTAGGCCAGACGGAACGATGACCCCCCCCCCCTCCGCAAAAAATAATTTGTCAATAAGTAAACGATAGAAAACCTAAAATGTACTACTTAAAATGTTTTTCTACTTTATTCATTTCAATGCATTTTTTGTTTGCTTATGTCCCCTCCCAACTGAAATCGCTAACTCCCCCCCCCAAAAAAAAAATGCTTCTTAAGGCCATGTATGTACATTTATGTAAAATCCGTATCTCTGACATATATAACTTTATTCAAAATTATTCATTTGAATTCCATACCCCGCAAGAATATCACAATAACTATGACCAACTATAGTGATTTTTTTTAGAAATTAGAAAATAAACATTTCATTCAGTCGTACAAAATTAGATAAAACCAAATAATTTTATTCTTGGGGCATCCCTCATTAAATCTACTGGAATGTGTGATGTGTATGAAAATCATGCTATAACATTTGATGCTGTATGTACATGCTTTCTTCCTTCTTTTTTTAATAGTACTGAAATTATAAAATTTTGATTGGGAAGTGTTTTTTTTTCGTTTCTTTTCTTCATCTGTTAGCATTGATATTTTGTTGCAGTAGTTGAAGTGTTTTAAAGACACCTACATCGAATTTATGAACGAACTTTTAACTGATTTGGTGTTTTAAGAGGATTCATTGCTATAATCATTCATTAATGGCAAAGGTTCGGATACTCTAGTAACTTTAATTAAAAAAGCATCTCATAAATGTCGTCAGTAACTACTATTTTTTGAGCAAGAAGACATTTAAAAATATTATATTCAATTATTTTTTTATGGTACGAAAGCCGGATAGGCTCATTTCTGAAAAGATAAAAAAAATATTTAACTCGTTATAACGAGTTGATTATCTCATTATAACGACTTAGTTTTATCTCGTTATTACGAATTACTTATCTCGTTATAACGAGTTAGTATCTCGTTATAACGAATTAATTATCCCGTTATAACGAGTTAATGAGGCATAAGGTTCCGTATACACGTACACGTATTTGTCTTTGATGTTTTTGAATAAAACAATACAAATCAACTGCATCGTTTATAATTAAACGAACTACAATCACAGACACAACCCCTCGAAAAAAAGAAAACAAGATAGGACAATTAACGTAAGGCGGCCCCCAAATTTCTCAAAAATTAAATTACATGTAAACAAAAAATACATTTGTTTTTCTGATGGTTGAGAACAAGTACTTATTTCAAAACATATCGGATTTCTTCTCATCTGATTGTAAAATAAATTTTAGTTGACTTAGAATCGGTACCATCGCTGAAAACAGTCAGAAAACAAGGGTATTTCCAGCATTCTTGCATTCTAAAAACTATGAGCGA